AGCCCTCCTAACCAAAACCATGGCGTGCTCCCTCTTCCTTTTCTACCCTATTCCTCTTCTTGTTTCCAGCGAGGTGCCGGCGATTCGGGTTGGCGAGGAAGCGGCGCGGTTACGAATCGGATATTGTTAAGGTAACTTCATACCTCTATTCGAAATCGAAACCTCTTTCCTCTTTCTTTTGTTGCCGCCGCTATGGATTTAGACCCCGAAGGTATCTTCCGCGACGACTCCGACTCTGACTCAGACTTACTCCATCAGAGGGAGTCCACGAAAGAATTCTCTGTCTACCTCGTTGACGCGTCTCCCAAGATGTTTCGTGCGGTCGGAACAACTGAAGAAGATGAAAAGGAGGAAACTTTTTTTCATGCTGCCGTCCAATGCATCTCTGAATCTCTCAAGGCTCAAATCATCGGCAGATCGTCCGATGAAATTTCGATCTGTTTCTTCAACACTAGGGAGAAGAAAAACATTCAGGATCTACATGGCGTTTTTGTGTTCAACGTTGCGGAAAGAGAGCTTCTTGATAGACCCACAGCAAGATTAATCAAAGAATTCAGCAGCATTGAAGATAGTTTTATGCATCATATAGGCAGTCGATATTGGATTGAGCCTGCATCAAGGGAGAATCCCTTGTACAACGCTCTTTGGGTTGCACAGGCGTTGCTGAGGAAAGGTTCTTTAAAAAATGTGAGCATGAGAATACTCATTTTCACAAACGAAGACAATCCTTTTGGAAACATTTATGGATCAGTGAAGGCAGACATGATCAGAACTACACTACAGCGTGCAAAAGATGCTCAGGAACTTGGAATCTCCATGGAGCTTCTTCCATTAGGCGGCAAAGAATTTGATGTCTCAATCTTATATGCCAATTTGCTTGGTCTGGAAAGCGAAGAGATGCCTCTCTTTCTGAGCTCTGCCGATGAAAAATTAGAAGATATGGCGAATCAGCTGCGAAAAAGGATATTTTCGAAGAGGAAGGTTAAAACAATTATGTTTAAGATAGCCAGTGGTGTTAGTGTACAAGTGAATGCGTACGCATTGATAAGACCTTCCACGCCTGGGCCTATTATGTGGTTGGATTCTGTCACTAGTCGCCCTTTGAAGACTGAGAGAACGTTCATTTGTGCTGACACAGGCGCTTTGGTTCA